TTTGTTGTGAATTTCGCACAAGATTTGACCAAAGTATATCCAGAGTTTTCAGTTTTTTACAATTGGTGGCCGCTTTAGAGATCCTCTTTGATGACTTTTGGCCTAAACAACACATAAACAAGAAATTGAATTCTTTAATTACAGAAACCAAAGTTTGGTGACGAGGATATTGATGAAGAGTAACATTTTTTTGTTTAAATCTTCAGTTAAGAACATTATAGATTATTAATTTATTACTCTACTTACATTTCTTATATACTATATAAGAATCAATTTTGAGTTTTGATAAGAGTTGTGGGGAAGAATGAAGATTGAATATGAATTTAGGTTGGCGCTTTTTGAGTTATTGAATATTGTTTGTTAAATTTGGATTTTGTATTTGAGAATTGGGATATTTTTTGCATTTTCATTTGAGAAGTTGTTTGCTACATTGATTTAGTATCATGCTTTTGTTTTCATTGACTTTTTTCATACATTTTTCTTTTTATTCGACGGATGGACTAATTAAAAATAATTTATTTTCGTGGTTATTAACGACCCGAACCGAGAACCGAACCGACTTTCGTGGTTATGGTGCGGTTATGGTATAACCAAAAAATTGGTGGTTCGATGATGGTTTTGGCCGAACCGATCCCGAACTGAACCATTGCCATCTCTAGTGCACACTAAACATGAATTCTCAATGACAAAAATGTCTCAATTAAAAAAATTAGAGACCAAATTGCCCAGTAAATCATAGGCCACAAACTCTCACAATTATTTTTTCAAATTCAAATTACACCAAAAAAAAAAAGTCCGCCAAAGTCCTAAGATCATAATGGGGTTGACGACTTTTAAATATCAAAAGGTTAAGAAAGTTGGTGAGTTGATGAAATGGAACTTAGCGTCCTAAGTTTTGACCTTTAAGTAAATGATGACCGTAAATATAAAATTTTAAACAGTAGAAAAAGATACTCTTTTGGAGAAGAATAATTCTAATCGTACAAACAGACTTTCATCGAGACTTTACAGAATTTCAAAAAAATCGATGATGTAGCCAAAAAAGGAAAAATGAGGAAAGAGGGATTTATACCTTATACACACCGTGCAATTGGTTTTTCCCAAAATAGAGCCTAGAAATATTGAAAACACATTTTGAGCTAATTTTTCGTTTGTATTCTCCAATAGAATCAATCCAAGTTTGTCTTCTCCGACAAATGAACTCAGCTGATTTTCCCATTCGACTTGTGCATTTTCCATTTGAAAAAATCAATCGACGTGAGAAAAAAAGTGAGAAATGGGAAATGGGGGGTTTGAAGGTGGAGAAAGTTTATAGCTTTGACTTCGAGGAAGTCGGTCCAAGTTCATCTTTTCTAACCAAGTTCGTCTTCCCCAACTGCTCGACCCAGCCTCAACTGATTTCTAGGGTGATTTTGCATTTTTCGTACCAAAAAAGACTGGCGTATATGATTGATGTAGAATCTTGCCCAAGAACGGTGATAAAACCAAGTGAACAAATTTCAATATTCTAGATTTCTTTAGTGTGCATTTTGAAGGTGTAATGTTACGTTAAATGCATTTTGAAAAATATATTGTTTCATTCTCTTAACATTTGAAATTTTGTTGAAAAATTTATGTATTTCATTAAATGCATTATGGAAAATCGAAGATATCTGCATCTTCAGACTATATTTTGTAAAATTTTAGTTCCACGATAGTGAAGAGAATAAATTTTTGGTTTTGTGTTATAATTACAAATTGGTTATTGTGTTGTAAATATGCTATATTTCCATCTAGTTATTTTGCTGTTACTGGTTTTTGTTCTGCTGAACATTGCCATTTACTTGGTCGTGGCTCGTGAAATTATGGAAGACATAAATGAAGATCCTTTCGTGCAATCCAATAATGAGATAGTTTTAGACAATATCAACATTGGGGACAAAGAAACGATAGAAGGAGATGGAGAGATTGTGCCTGGGATAGGTACGATGATTTATGGATGAAAAATAGCTATTTGATTTCTACAAGCTATATGCTTATACTGTGTATGTTTTCTAGTTAGAAAAAAGAATTCGAAAAAGGAGGACGATGGAGTTGTTAGATATGTGATGTTTATATGTAGTCGTAAATGCCGAAGAAGCAGTAATACAAACATTACTTTGAAGCCACAACCAACAAGTTCAGACTATCATGGAACATGGAGAATTAACACCATCCACCTCGAGCACAACCATAAAACAAGTCATTCCAAGCTTAGGTTGTATCGGTGTAACCGAGAATTGAGTGCAAATGTGAAACAGATGTTTGAATTGAATGGTACGATAGGAATTCTATTGCATAAAAAATTTAACTCTGTAGTTGTGAAAGTAGGTAGGTATGAAAATATGACTTGCGTTAAAAAGGATAATCCAACCTAAAGCCAATAAGTATGAGAATAAGCTTCTTACATTGCAAATCTTTCCAACACTATCCCTAATACTCATCCAATGATGTCGATTCACAACGATGCTGAAATCTCATATAACAAGTGATGTTGGAGGATGCAAAATTGGGTTTTATTTTTATTTCTATGTAGTGGTTAATCTTTATGTATAATTTTAACCATGATTGATGAAGAAACGAAATTGTGTATGACATTATTTCAGACTATTGTGAATTGCTTTTCCGTCTTAACTCAATACATATTTATATGGCAAGAATAAGAAATATTTTTACCAAACATAGACAAACACATAATTAGATGACCATAGTTTACACTAGCAAATACATAGTTCAATAATATTAGTTTTTCATGTATGCAATCCCACATTGCCTCATTCGTGGTTCAATCAAAAGCCATCAAAAACATTTTAGCAGATAATCAATTTTGCCTACTATTTATAAAGTACGACCCTTTCCTTTTTCATTCACTTCCGCACTTTCCTTTCCATTGCGAAATATTACGTTCAATGAAATTTTGATGTCTCATTTTTTGGCTATTCTAGCTAGATTGTTGAACATGCTTGGCAAATTTTCGACTTCTTTGATGACCCTAGAATTAACTGATTCATTAATAGTACTCGTTTCACCACTTGATTCTTCATTTATGACCCAATCAAAATACCCACAATTAATACTACAAGTTTTTAGTAATCGCCCTATTTTCTTTGTCTCCTTTTTAATCTCAAAACATTTTTGCAATCCGCATGCACACCATGGGCATTGTCTTTTTTATCAAACAGTCCCTGAAGAAATGGTCTTTGCTTCTACAGCTATGACAAACACCAACATTCTTTCCTCTCACCTTGGAACAAATATCAAATGTGATTACTACATAAACTAAGAAAATGGAGAAAAATTCATGATCACTACCCTAGCGTCTCAATAACTTCAATCATTTTCATCTATTCTAAACAAGAGTATATATGCCTTCAACATTTTTCCACAATTACAGAACAAGGCAAGTAGTATGTCTTCTACCTATTTCACCAATTCCACTATCTTTTCACCATATTTTACATAGGATAGGATAAGCAAAAATCTTAATAATTTTGTTCATTTTTTACACGCTAAATACAGAATCTGACCTTCAAGACTTTAGCGTCGACAAGATGTGGAAATGACTGCAGTGGTTGTGGATGGGATACAATGGCCAGAGATAGAGACGAGTGCGACGATTATGGACCGATACAATGGCAAAAAGTGGACACAAGTATGGCTATTGTGGACAGATGCGATGGTCGGAGGTGAAGATGATTTCCAAAGTTTTGAATTGAGGAAAAGGGAAAGCTAGATAGCCTGCCACTTTGGGGTTGGAGTTCGTGTGGCCGGAGGTGGATTTCACAACAACGATTCGTAGGGTTCCAAATGGAGAAGTTGGGAATTACATACACTTGTCTTCTGTTTTTTTCTCTTTTCCCTTCCATCATCATCATCATCATCATCATTAAATAGGGACACATGCCACATCATTCCGTGAGACCTCTGTGAAGTTTCCTTCTTAGCAACGGACCAAGGAGGGCTATAGGATTACTTGACCCCCTAATTTTTGATTTTATTTTAATTAGAAGGTCAAAGTTTAAAACCTACAATATAATACAACCGATAGCGGCTCAGCTTTGTCTCTCTTTCCTACCATTTGAAGCCCCTGTAGAATCGATTGTCCCAGACAATTTGTCGAGAGAGGACTGCCACCTACCCACCACTCATGTCTTCACCATAACACCGTTTGCTTTCTCTCTCCCATCGACCACTAGGCCCATTTTTCACTTCACGTCTTCACCTCGCCCATTTTCCACTTTGGCCTTCGCTCACTGTCACGTCGTCGTTGTGCATCTCCTTCTATCTACTGCGGTAGATGCTGCATTTGCATATTTTTAACTTCCTACAGACTCCAATTCATGCACAGTCCACTGTTGTCTTTTTGAAGGTATGTCACATCTCCATTTGATTTTAGTTATTTTCTTCCAATTTTAGTGTCTGCAATGTATTTTAACTTTATTTCTGATTTATATACAACTCATTCCTGCCAAATAAATGCTAATGTTTCCATTAATTGTGTTATTTGATTTAGTATTTTTCGATTTAGGGATTTTTAATTTAGGGATTTCAGATTTAAGCTTTCTTATTTATATTTAATTGGTTTAGGAAGATTGAAACTTTGTTTGAATTTTGGTAGGTATGACTTAGAAGAAGAAACTAATTTAGGGATTTCTAATGTTGTCGATTTTTTGTTTGTATTAGTTCTGAACAAATACTTTAAATGTAAATCTACACTATCCTATAATGGGCAAAATATCAGTGAAAGGAATGTTCGAGAGAAAATTGATGAAAATGATGTTGATATTGAAGATGTTGGGGATATTGGAGATGTTGGGGATATTAGATGTATTAGGGATGTTGATGCTGCATAGCTTCCCTTGAATCCTGGATTGAGAATTTCAATACAGAATTATGATGTTAATGTTCGAGACGTAATTCAAAGAGTATATATGCAAAGGGGTCCTTGTCAACCTCGTAATCATGCGTTTCTACCCGTAAAAATGGGTAACAAAGCCAGGCGATTTTGTATTTTTTGGCATAATAAGCATCCTACCTGGTTGGAATATAGGATAGCAAAAGATGCAGTTGTTTGCTTTTACTACTATCTTTTCATTTCAGTGATGGTTCATTTGTTAAAGACGGATTCTTAAATTTGAAAAAGAAAGTACATGTTGGGGCTTCAAGTAGTACACATAATCAAGCTCAGGTCCATTATGAATTGTTCAAGAATAAAAAACAAAGTATTTGATCCTGTCTCATTAAGTAATTGCATCACGCTAAAACAGATTATCGAATTTGATTGAATGCATCAATTGATTGTGTTTGATTTCTTCTACTACAAGGGATGGCATTTCGTGGATACGATGAATCTGAAGATTCAAACAATCAAGAAAATTTTCTTGAACTATTGTATTGGTTGTGTAATCATAATGTGGAGATTAATGCCGTTACTTTGACGAATGCACCTAAAAATTTCAAATGAACATTATCAAGAGTGCAAAAAGATATTGTGATTGCTATTGCTTCTAAATGTCTACATGTGATTATCAAAGATGTTCGTGATAGTTTCTCCTCAATTTTAGTTTATGAATCTCGAGACATTTCAGTGAAAGAGCAAATGTCAGTTGTCGTTCGTTATGTAAAGAATGTGTGTTTATTGAAAATTTTTATTGGAGTCATTCATGTTTCGAGTATCATAGCTGCCTCAATTAAGGCTGCAATTAATCAATTATTTTCAATGTATAGATTAAGCATATCTAATTTGAAAGGCCAGGGATATGATGGAGCTAGTAACATGCGAGTGAGTATAATAGCCTCAAAGCACTTATTTTGAAAGAAAACTCAAGTACTTACTATATATATTGTTTTGCTCATTAACTTCAACTAACTTTTGTATTTGTGACACAGAAATATCCGAAAATTAAAACTTTCTTCACTACAGTACACAAATTGGTGAATTTTGTTGAGAGATCAGCTAAACGAAGTAATCTTATTCGAGAGAACTAAAGAATGAAAATTTTTGAATCACTCAATGTTGGTAAAATATCAAGCTGATGGGTCTCAATCAAGAAGTTACTTTTCAAAGTCCTGGTGATAAACGTAGGGGCTCTCACTATAGTTGTTTAATTAACTTGATTGTCATGTTTTCAATCATTGTCGACGTTATTGAGATGATTGCTACTGATGCTACAAATACCTGAACAAGAGGTGATGCATACATTTCATTGGAGTTGATGTTAATATTTGAATTTTCTTTTAATCTACATTTCATGAAAAAGATTCTAGGGATTTCAAACAAATTGTCTAGGGCATTACAATGAAAGTATCAAGATATTATCAATGCTATAAAATTGGTGCAAATATGTAAAGCACAGCTCCAAAACATGAAGAATGATGGATGTGATTCTTTTTTGGACTAGTTTGTTCGTTCTATGAAACTCACAAGATCAATGTTTCCAATGTGGATAATATGTTCATAACTCTAGTCTTCATGACATGAGACTGATGAATTTGCTTCACTTTTGTGTGAAAATGTTTTATGCCATAATTGATATGCAACTTCAAAAGTTGAATGATCATTTTTCTAAGGTAAATAGTGACTTGCTCCTTTGTGTTGCGTGTTTGCCTCCAAATAATTCATTTGCTACTTTTGACAAGACCAAAGTGATTTGACTATGTCAGTATTATTCGGTAAATTTTGATATAGCAGATATCTCAAAATTTGATGATCAACTAGATACATACATTTTTTATATGCGTACTTCTGAAGATATTGAAGGATTATGAGACATTTAGTGATCTTGCATACAAGTTGGTTGTGAATAATAAACATAAAGTGTATCCATTAGTCAAGCTTATGACATTAATCTTAGTTCTTCAAGTGACTGTTGCTATAGTCGAGAGAACATTTTCTGAGATAACTTCATCAAAAATCTTCTGTGCAGTCGAATCAGATATCAATGGTTGAATGATAATTTGATTGCATATATTAAGAAAGATACTTTTGACAGGATTGAAAATAATGTAATTATGGAACATTATCAAAATATGAGAACATGTAGAAAATAATTGCAATGATATCTCTTGCTTTAATTTTTTTGGTCACTTTTTTTAAAGTTTGATTGTGACCTCTAATTCAAAATGTCTGCGTATGCTCCTTCGATACATTTAGCGCGTTCCTTTGGAGAATATCTATTGGCTGCTATCCATAAATAATTGACATTTTTATTGGCTATACATGTGCGTCCAACTTGCATGCTCGGAAGTCGTAGTATAACATAATTCTCTGCAAGTCGTTCAATTTCAAATTTTGCAACCCAACGACCGAAAAGGCGCCCCCTACATATACCCTTAGGGAGGGGGAAGGGTCCGTATTAAAGCAGGATTAAACCCGACCCAGAAGCCAAATGTCAGCCCGAACGCAAAACCAGAACCCAGCTCAAAGAGACTACGTGATCCAAGAAGAAGATGAAGAAGAAGAGGTGTTGAAGCTTGAAGAAGAAGTGGAACAAATAACCCAGAAAGTACTCGAGTACAGAACTAAACTTCCGAATCAACTTAACTCCACACACGCTTCTCTCCTCTCTTCTCAACGACCCATTATTCCCCCGACCCGTTTGTCCGAAAATGGATCTGAACCTCGACTTGAATTGGAGACGGGTCCTAATCCAGGTGCGTGCGTACACTTCTTGGTTATCCATTTGATTTATGCGTTTACCTGGGTCCCTGCTTTTTGTATGTCTCTTTTAGGGATTGTTGGATAAAGGTATCTTATATGAATTTTTATGGTAATTGTTTCAAGAAATTGAACTATATCTTATTCTATCTCGCACTGTTTTCCCATGAATTGAAGATTTTTTTACACTGTGATATGAATTTTTATTTTATTTATTTATTTTTTGTTTCTTTGTTAAATTTAGAATATTGCTCAAAATGTGATTATGATAGCTTTAAATTTTGGTTGTTTTTATACTTTTATATAAATACTTTCTAATTCGCCATTTATCTGTTGTTCTGTTCTGGGAAAATTATGGGTCTAGTGTCTTCTTTTTCAAGGTTGGTATTTGCATTATATTGTAATGGTTGAACTGGAATTCAACCAAAACCAGTTAACTCCAATCGAAATTCGACACACAAGATGATTTACTGCACTGGGATTCAATAACCCAGCTGAAATTTCATTAATAAACTGAAATGTGAACAAATTCAAGAACAAAAGTACAAGAAATTAAGATGAGAACGGAGAGATTCAGTATTTTCGAGGAGAGAAGGGATAGAATAGCTGGCAATTTTTCCAACTGAATCCTCCTTCCCTCCCTCCGGTTGTTATAACAAAAGAAAAACTTGTTTGTGTCATGTGGCGTGTTTGTGCTTTTACAATTTAAAATAAAATGAAAATGGTGTCGTCCCCTTAATTGAATTTCCGGTAGCTCCGCTGGCTTCTGCCGCTCTTCCTTCCCCAATCTGTGGTGATGCACGGTTCTGGTTCCTTTCCATTATATATCTATTGCTGAAGTCTGTGACTATCTTATTGGTAATATGAATTGATTGTGTAATTGATTGAAATGACTGAAACTAGCAAACTCTTTGGTGCCCAAGTGACAAAAAGACATTCGGGTATCCAGTTTGCATATTAGCGTAATCAATTTTATTCCATCTATATCTAGACAAAAAGATCCTTTACCCCACCAATAGCCTTTAAACAGAGCCACAGAGATGTTAATCATGATCTGGTGTTAGGCAGCCAGGATTCATCCACCAACGTGAATTGATTAATTGTTAGCATTCTCATAGAAAAGTGGCATGTGTATTTGAGTTTGCCCTGGAGGATGATATTGAGTTCCAAGTTGAGAGTGATTTTGTGGACAATGGAAGCTGCCGTTGGGTTGTGATTTGCTCCCAAGTAGCGAAAGGCTAGGAAAAATAATTTTAGCCTTTTCTTTTTCCGTGTTATTAAAAATTCTGCAAATGCTAGGCTTCACCAGATCTTTAATGACTGTTGAAATATTGAGAATTTTGGACTCGTCTTCTTCCAAACTTACCTTTTTCTTAGTCTTTTATGATTTTCATTCTTTTTCTTTCTTTCTTGCCTTTTCTTTTCTTTTGTCTTTTGTGAGGGTTGAGTTGGGGTGGTAGGTTGATTTCCATGCAATTCATCCTTTCTTACTCCCAAACTGTTTCTGGTAGCAAAATTTGGCCTTGGAGTTGGAAGCGAAAATATATCCCTTTGAACGATTTTAACTTTCCCGAAATCCAATCCCACAGCTTCAGTTCTATCCCTCCAAACATGGTGCCGCTTCTGAATAAGTATGTGTTGAAGTTGTTTTCACCTGGTGCTCTATGTTCAAAAGTGTTCCTACAAACCTGAGTGCAAATATGCGTTGTGCTTAGAATGATGCCTATCGAAATTTTCAGCTTTCATCTTCCTCACATTCTTTGTGGTTTATCTCCTTTATTAGGTGAAGAAATGGCAAATTTTTCAAATATTAACAGACCCTAAGTAAATAGTTGGTTTAAGAGCAGATATTTTTTGTTTGCATTCAGGCAGACTGTTCTTTAAGTAGTATGTGCTGTACATATTACTCTGAAGTTTTCTTGCAAAAATCAGCACCCTCAGAAATTTGAAGAGGGAAAGTTAATGTACGAGGATGACCGAAACAGGGTGGGTCTAAAGGAAGTAGGCTTGGGTGATTTCTGGGCTTGATTTTGGGTGAAATAAGATGGATTGCACCTCCACCATGAGCTGTATGTTTTGGACGAAATGGTGGCATACGCTACACTAGTTGGTACAAGATCTAGATTTTCCATGTCCGAGCCAATCTGGAGCATTTGGTCGGTGTATAATGCAGAGCATGTTTGAAACATGGGTGGGCTTGGGGTGGATTCCGGAGCTTGATTCTGTGTGATAATAGGGTGGATTGCACCTCCACCATGTGATATAGCTATTGAAAAAAGGGAAATACCCTGCTTCTAAAGTGTATCAATGTGATATGTTGAATAAATGTGAAATTGAATATGTTTCCATTTTCTATCCGTTTCAATGGCCCTCGTGACTGTGTGGCCTTTCTGTCAGTTAAAATATGTGACATCATTTTTTACTTAGCCCCCATTTGATTCCTATTCTTTGGTCACAAAAATGAAAAATATGACCGTTATCTATTACATCAAGTCATTATATTTGACTTTTTATCTCTTGTGTGGGTTCTGTAACGACTATATTTTTCATTCTTATTTTTAAAAAAATGGGTACCATACGGGGCTTTATTGTTGCATATTCTTTTTCCCACAGTGGTACCTGTTGAGTCAAGTGGAATGGCCTCATTAGTTGGAGAGGGTCAAGGGGAAGCTGAGAAAATACAGCTCCTCAAACTGAAGATCTCAAGTAATGCCTCTATGATGTCTATTGTTTTGAAAAGGATGAAAGACTATATCGTAAGGATCGATGAATTGGAGATCTCCAATGGAATCATCCATCCGGCTTTTAAAAGGAAACGAACAAGTTGACCAGGTTTTTCATTCACTTTAGATGCTTCTTGTTTTGTTGTCTATTCGAATTCACAGTGTGTTGTCCATGCTAACTTCTTTGCCAGTTCAATATGTAACATGATGTAGCTTGTCTTAATCTTTGTTGTCGGGGTTAGCTGCGATGAGTTGATAATAACACGTACACCAAGTTCTTGAAAATTCTCAGTTTATCAATTCTTGAAGCCCTTTTTGTTTCTTGTTTAGAAATTGAGACCCAGGAAGAAAACTCGATTCAGGGTCGGAGGATCCAATGGATGAAATATGTTGGATCAAATACAAGCAAATTACAACCCAAGATCCATATATAATAGTAATATGCCTGTTTAATCAACAATAAACCATATAGATCCTCTTGAAAGTGAAACATAAATAGATAGACTGTGCTTTGGAAGTATAAGTGAGAATTATTTTTTGGACGATTTTAACTTTACTACAATTTAGTTATTTTAATAAGGGATTTGCTACAACAACCCCCTCGTTTGTGGGGGTTTGGTCAGGGAGGTTGTCAGCCTCCCTGTTGTTGTAGCAAATCTCGTTTAATAATATGTTACCTTTTCGTTTTTGTTATAAAATTTGTTATGAATTTTGTGTTATTAATTAATATTCATGTTAATCTAAATTTAATGAATCTTGACTTAATGAATTTTGTTCCATAGAGTTAGGTTTTTTATTCATGTATTTTAAAGTTTTATTGGGTGTTTAAATTCATATATTTCATCATTACAAAAAAATTAAATCATAGAAATTAAGGTAGCGGTTGGTTTGTATTTTCATCTTTCATTTTCATTTTCAAAACGATTTTTAGTTTCTCCGAAAATGGCCCGTTTTCCGCGTTTTTAGCGTTTTGGCAATTTATAACTAAAAATGCTCAAAATGATAAAAAATCGTTTTGCATTTTCAATTATAAATTTTAACTCATTTTCGAAAATGCGTTTTCGAAAACGACGGACCAAATGCGTTTTTCGCGTTTTCGAAAACGGAAAACTGAAAATGACCCAAAAAGGACAAACCAACCACACCCTAAGTTTTGAGAGTATAATTTTCTTCTTTTAAATTTTTATTCTAAATTTTATTCTTTTTAGTTCATTTGAGACTCATCAAATACTTTCAACAAATTGGTATTAAATATTACTTTTACAATACTTACAAAGTATTTCAGAATAACGCGTGATGTACATTTATTTTTGACTAATATTTCTCTAAAAGAAGGATAGTGGTGAAAAAGTCCTAAATGAAAAGTGACTACTAAGGAATCTCACTTACAAGTAAAACAGATAATTTGTTAGCATATTATTTGTCTAAAAGACTAAAAGTGTCACTTGGGTCACCAGCTATTACGCCGTTGGAATTTGAAAACTATATATATACTAAACTTGTTTAACTATGATAAAGTAGAAGCTCCTATTTATATAATTACAAATAATTCTTAAAAGAAGTTTGTATAATAATCACATTATTAATATTAATTATAAAAGAAAATAATTGCATAAAGTCAAAAAAAATATCCAAGAAAATAATACTATGATCTTTTTGTAATCTTAACACACTTGTTCACGGTGGTGGATCCACGAATATTGGTGAGTTAGGGGCCATTAACCGTTGATCGTCAAGGCCGCAATAACGAGATCTTTAATTAATATTAAAACTTTTCAATCAATATATAAACACCCTAAAACATAAAAATCATATACATATAAAAATATAATCCAATAAACTCAAAATCACTCTGTAACTATAAGCTCAAATTCAATTTGCAAACCTCAAATTTACAGTTTCAATAAATTCCAAATTTTAAGAACAGAAAACATCCCTTAAAGAATCTTGGTATTGACCATTAGCAGTATAATTCAAGGACTAACTTTATATTGTGTGATTCAAATAGTAAAAGTTTATCAATACATTCCACTTATAATTGTGCTTCCTCACTAAGATCGGATTGGAAATTCACCTAGGTTATAGGGCTCCTTTGATTTGTTATGTAATCTAGCATAGTGATTTAGCCCCTTTTTGGTATATATTTCTTTGCCACGTTTCTGAAAACAAAAAATTGCTTTCGCAAAATCTATTATTAAAAAACCTCAATTGAACAAGCCCTTAGTTGCTCTTAAATCGAAGTTATGTCACATTTACTATCAATTTCAGATCACTGGTGACAGTTTAGCGATTGGAAGTACAACAAAAATAAAAAAAAAAAAATTTTTTTTTTTTTTTTTTTTTTTTTTTTTTTTTTTTTTTTTTTTTTAAGTGTTAATCCGGGCCAAACATGAGGCCATTGAAAGTTGAAGTGGGCTTTTTCCCCCATACAACTATTATTGGCTACTGCACGGTACCAAAGGCCTGTTTATGTCTTATTATGGAAGAAATTATAGAGTTTTGAATAGTATTTTTTGAAACATATGTGGTTAAAATTTAAAAAAACTTCATTGGTTTGTGTTAGAATATTTTATTATGCAAATGTGTGGTGGAGAATATTATTGTAGCAAACAATTAAGGCCTTGTTTTGTAGACATTAATGTAAAAATAAGAATGAAAAATATAATCGTTACGGGCTCCACACAAAAAATAGAAAGTCAAATATAGTGGCTTGATACGATGGATAACAATCATATTTTTCAGTTTAATGGACAAACAATGAAAAACAAACTGAGGCTTAATTTGTTAAAGGATTGACAAATGAGGGCTAAATCTGCCTTCCCGAAACCCGTTCCGACTTCTAATTAGTTAAAATCTAGTCCCGCCGAGCAAAATTTTAGTTTCGATCCATTCATGTAAGGTTACTCATGTTTAGCACTCCACTCTAAATTCTTTTGAAGGTATACTTCAAATACGATTTAAAACTCGAAACTCTTTTGAAGTTATTCCTCAAATATAAAACTCTTTTGACTTTTTTCATAAGTTTTAAATTCTCGACTTGAAAAGAGATAGTGACGTGAATTTCTTGTCAACAAGTTCAAAAAAACATTTGAAATAGGACACAATCAAACATTGAAAATTATAATTTTAAGTCACCTTTCAACCTCAAAAACCTGAAAACAAAGAAGAAAAAGTATCCCAATAAAATAAATTTATCTTTGTAGTGATAAAATTTTTTTTGACAAAATAATAAGACACAATTTTTAAATTTTCTCCACATTTTTAATTTTTATTCATTTCTACACAATCATTTGACTCTATTATTCAAATGCTAATTATATTTTATATGCCACCCCCATTGAGCTGTATGTGACAACAAAGAGTTACAAGAGTCAAATGGTGGTCAGCACGTCTACCAATTGAGCAATATTTAAGAAAAAATTGTCCCTAAAATTTGTGTTTCATTGACTAAGGTTCATGTTGATAATTTTTTTTATTTATGAATCAATAGTTTTTAATTTCTTCATTCATATTCATTTCATTTGAATTGCCGACATGTGAAATTCAAATATTTTTCCATTTTTCTCAAATTTTATTACCAAACTCATTAGCCCACACGGACTTGGTCATTAGGTAGGTAGGTACTATCAAGTTATAGAGATTTTGGACATGAGTATATTATTTATAGTGAAAATTATCGGTAATTGTCCTCAAATAACAAACTGACATGTTTATGTCACGTAAGACGACTATCGATTGTCTTTACTATAAATAAAATTATTCTTTTGTCATATATATTAGGGTCGACTCACAAAGAAATTTTGTTAATTTCAATGTTTCAATCAAAACTTAAGTTTTGTCGTGCCTATCTAGCCTAGAAACCCTTTGTAGTAGAAGAAAATAAAACAAAGAAAACTGAAATTTTTGTTATGTATACCGGGCATAATCACGGACAAACCACCCTATTTTGACTTAATTATAAATCCCTAATTTCTTGTCTTTCCATAATTTTATTGTTTAAATAATAATTCTATATCCCTAATTTATTGTCTTTCTATAATGTTACTGCTTCATTATTAATCAAACCCAAATAGAAAATAATTAAACAATTTTAAGCAATTAGTTATTTTTAAATTTTTTATTCCCTTACCAAATATAAATTCATTACAGCTTGTTAGTGCTCAAGTTGATGGAAGCATCTCACAGGCCACTTCCTCCCTTCACCCATTATAGAACTGGAAATTTTTTTTTTAAAAAATAAAATTATTCAAATTGATTTCTAACTTGAGTTCTTTAAATTTGAGAAGTTACACAAATCACTTCACATTATAAAAGTAAGACATTATGCGATTTTCTTGTGTGTCTCATATCAAAATCCAAATAATTTAAGTTTTGAACGTTTAATTTAGTAATAAATGAAATCAATCAAACTCGCTTCTCTTGGCACGAAGAGTAATGATATTATTGATTACCGTATCTGAAAAAGAAAAGTAATCTTGTTTATGTCCACTTCCACGTGTCGACTACTCGATAAAGTCTCATTAAATGCGCCTTTTGTAGAGGACCGTTGATTTAGATTCAAAAATTGTTCCAATTAAAATTAAACAAGTGGCAATATTGTGAGACAGACCGAAAAAAGGTCACTTTAGTATCGGTATGATATTAAATTTTAGGCAACTCATACACATAATTCTAACCGTTCAAAAGTTATATTGACAATCAAATTTCAAAATTGACGCTCTCAAACGAGTTTGTGTCGACCGACGGACACAACGAAAGAGAGCCTTGGGTCTTGACCGGAAAGGTATGAACCGGGTTACCATATTTTAGGTCATATAGGCTTATTATATGCATTGCATGCTTCACTGTCTTTCCTCCAAAATTTCATAATAAAAGAAGGAAGCAATTTTTTCAACTGGGTTCCCCGCTAATTGATAGCACAACCCCATTTCGTGATCAATGGCTGAGATTGTTCTTCATTCAAGATTCTGAACAGATGGGTTTTGCTCAAAGAAATACAATTCTTTTTGCAGAAAAAAGTGATGAAAGATTAGGAGGGGAACTGTTCAAATTCAAAATCCAGAATAACTAAAAGGTAAGCATAAAGAACGGCTTCCCGTTTGCTTTATCTAACTTCTGGTGTTGCTTTAAGTTTCTTTCAAGTTTCGGTTTTATTTCATCTCCCGGATTATATGCTTTGGAGGCTTCACTTTATGAATCTTGTTTCAGATAATTATTCAAAGTTTTGATAAAACAATGACATTTGATAATTTATTTTGCTTTTTCTTGAAAAAGATAAATGTGTGCTTTTCTTTTGGCTGTAAAATCCATGAATTTGAGTCATTTCCCGGGTTGTTATGTATTCAAATATCATTCATTTGTTTTAGCTTCAACTGTTCAAGAATTTGTCCCAGAATCTTGAACTGTGTATATTAAATCATATAAGAATACTTTCATAATTTGAGCAATTACCTCAGATTTGACAGACTGGGAGCCTAATCAAATATCATACATTTTTAGAGCTTTTATATTTGAGAAAGTGATTTTCTTGATGATCTGTGTAGAATACTTGCAGAATTTGATAATTTAGTCCAGAATTTACACAGAGAGGGTCTTAATGGATAGCATTTCGAATTCCGAGGAGAATTCTGATATGGGATATCAGCCGTCAGCTTCTTCTCTGGATCAGATTGATCAATCACCAACAGATACTACCAGTTACTCAATTATTAGTGGGGAATCTTTTGCGTACTGCCGAACGAGTTCTGTGACCTCTGCGTTTTCTGAGCAAACGGATGAAAACAGCTGTTCCGAGGCAGCCTCTCCTAATTTCTGGCCGGGCATGAAAACTCCAACACGTGCAGCCCTTTCGAGATTAGGAATGAAGCAGCACAGGTATCCTTTCGATGAAAAGCAGCGAGACGAGGACACAATGGAGTTAGGTGAGTTTACAATGTTATACATGCATTCTTCCAAGTCTAATATAAGAATCAACCACTGGTGGTTTGTGAATCCTGCTAATTACCCTCATGACTTTGGAATAGTCTTGAATCACTTTTGAAAATCTTGTGGATTAGTCCCCTTTTGATTTGCCTAAGTTTTTGCTGATTTGAGGGTAATTTGCATGGTTTTCCAGTCCTTAAAGGGGATAATAATCAGCAAGTTTACCAAACTATGGTGAAATAACTTGCAAATTCTTATAAATTATACGAAAATACGAGTATGCTGAATTGTTACTAAAATATTTCAGAGCTGGAACTGATGAAGGAGAGATTTTCAAAGCTTTTGCTGGGGGAGGACATGTCAGGAAGTGGAAAAGGGGTTTGCACTGCAGTGACAATCTCCAATGCCATAACAAATCTCTATGGTAGGCATTTTTTTATATGTCATAATGGATAATATTAAAAGAAGAGGCAAATTTGTTAGTTATCCTGTCTAATATGTTCAAAGAACCAAATTGTCAATAATGGATATATTATGAATTCATTTCTGTTTTTAGTATGTTTCATTATTAGTACATCTTTGGAACCTTTAATAAGGTGTAGTGGACACTATTAACGGAGAAAAATAGGCTAAAATATCGTCTATTGTAATATCAAGTCGTATTTAATACAGTTTACCAATAACCAAGGATGTATTGTGGGGGGTTGGGGGGTGGGGCTATAGCCCAGTCCAGTACCCAGCCCATTTAATATTTTTAGTGTATGTGTAAATTTTTTTTTTTTTTTTTTACATATTAGCCCGACTTGTCGTCCAATCCTGAATCCGTCCCTACCAATAACCAAACATGCTGTTTATGCATTGCAGCTTCAGTATTTGGTCAGCATCAGAAGTTAGAGCCTTTGCGTCCAGATAAGAAATTGATGTGGAAAAGAGAAATGAATTGCCTTTTATCAGTCTGCGATTACATTGTAGAATTAGCCCCTGCATTGCAGACTTTAAAAGATGGGAATACTTTAGAGGTGAAGACTCTTTCTTTTGTTTTTCGGACGTAAGCTTTCCCCGTCTCGTGTCGCTTAACAAATGTATGTATTTCAGGTGATGACAAGCAGACCAAGATCAGATATTTACATCAACCTTCCTGCGTTGAGAAAACTAGACGCAATGCTCCTGGCAAGAACACTATTATCTGCTAAAATCTAGATATTTTCTTTTCATGAATGATTCTGCTTTTCTCCAATGGCTAATGAAATTAGTTTTGTTCATAGGATATACTGGACAGCTTCGAGGAGACAGAGTTTTGGTATGCAGATCCGGGAAGCATATCGGGAAATTCAACGCGTTCTGGATCATTCAGGAGGATACTTCAGCCTCAGCCTCAACGAGCAGATGAAAAATGGTGGTTGCCGGTTCCTTGCGTTCCTTCTACTGGTCTATCTGAGAAATCAATTAAACATTTGTTACAAAAGCGTGATTGTGCCTACCAAATTCACAAAGCCTCACTGTCCATCAATAATAGCATTCTTGCTGAAATGGAGATACCAGAATCATACATTGCAACTCTGCCTAAGGTAGGTTGGCGCCCATGAATATTTCAAAACGATTGCATATTAGTAATCAATTCTCTAACATCATTTTTGGTGATTCTAGAGTGGAAAAGCAAGTGTAGGAGATACCATTTACCGCTACATGTATACCACAGAAAAATTTTCTCCGGGTTGTCTTCTTGATTCTCTCGATATAGGCTCTGAGCATGAGGCACTTGAGTTTGCAGACAAGGTTGAAGCTTCAATGCATACATGGAGACGTAAATGCGGGACTCACTCTAAATCATCATGGGGCGTGGTTAAGGACTTAGTGTCTGAGATTGATCGAAATGATAAGAATAATGTCTTAGCCGCAAGAGCCGAGACCTTGTTGTTCTGCCTGAAGCAAAGATATCCAGAACTCTCACAAACGACATTGGATACAAGCAAGATCCAATACAATAAGGCAAGTTTATATCTTATCCTTGTACAAATCAATGCTCATGCAATGCAGTGCTTGACAATATTAATTAAGAAAAATAAGCCAAAATCTTGTTTGTTATATTGTCCAATACTGTGTACCCAACATGAACCATCGTTTTGCCGCAAGAAAATGCTTTATGAAATGAAGATCTCATTTTGTCACTGCACTTTATTGCAGGATGTAGGACAAGCAATCCTAGAGAGCTATTCTAGAGTGTTGGAAGGTTTGGCATTCAACATTGTTGCTTGGATTGGGGATGTACTTTTTGTACATAAAACCATGAAAAAACGAGATTAGTATAAACAACAGCAAAGAAATCGGCAGCTAGTTGTGGTTAGGGGTGAAATCTCACTCGAACATTCTGGCTGGTATATGCTGCAACTTACAGAATTCAACATATGATGTACAGAATTCTGTACCTAGGATTTTATGATGACAATTGACTGATTTTGTTCCTCCTGAGTTTAAATAGTATTAGTGAAAACCTTTGGTCGTTAAATGTCTCCTATTTGATCTGATGTCCGGTGTTTTCGGCTTAATTTCCTGTCTTAAAACATCTTGGCATGTTATTACAGAACAGTAATGAATAGGACAACAATGTGATTTATCATTTTTGGTTCCTATTCTAGATTACAATGACAAATCTCTTTTAGATTGTATATTTGTACCGTACTTGAAGCCACCTGTGTATACAGACATGTACTTCTATCTGAGTTGTAATATTGTATAGGCCATGTGATGCATCTCAATCTAACATATGGTTTTCCATGACAGACCATATATCTGTAAGTATTGTTAAAGTAGCAGGTGTGGTAAACAGGTCTCGGCTATACTAGACAATACTGGATATTAATACCATTGTGCATTCTACCATTGGAGTATATCGAAGAAGTTAGTCTCTACTAATATCTCATCCCATGTTGTTAATTCAAGCATTATGAAAAGTACAATTTACGTAGTTCCAATAAGAGTGCAAATTACACAATTCTATAAGGACCATTCTTGGGGTTCATAATGGACACCACAATGGTGTCCATAATCCCGAGGTGGTGCCTCCCCATTGAAGGAGGCGCCGGGCCCATAGGCACCCCTCCAATAGGGGGCGCCACCTCGACATTATGGACACCATTATAGTGTCTATTATATACACTTAGAATATTCCATTCTATAAGGGCTCCTTCCTCGTAATGAGGATATATTGTGTCGAACATGAAATTTATATTGGAGTAACAGAAAATAATGTTTGTTCCCACACAATTTGAGACGATGATCGAACAATGTAACTAAAAAAGAAAAAGGATAATTAACACAATACGGAAAACAATTTTGAATGTATTTTCCATCTCGACACATACCTTGAATAACGGAGAACCCTTACCACGGCATTATAAGAAGGCTCCAGAAATATTTAGTAAATATGGTATAACAAAATTTAAATTAGGGAAACATGATTCACATTTCATAAAAGACAAAAATATGTTTAATAAATTATAAAATAAAGTGTGTTTGTTCCAAACAACATCAATCAAAATTGCGTCATTTCGGTATTGATTAAAAAAATAGTTATCTCATTTCTGTAACTATTACAATTTCGTTCAAATTCTATGTGGAAAATATTAGATTGGATTTTATCAATACTAATTTGAAGAATATGAGGAAAATCACGGTGAAAGCGAAATTTACTCCTCCGTAGTTCTGATTTTGCATCCCCCAAAATTAAACCAAAAAAAAAAAAAAAAAAAAAATGCCTTTCAATACACGAGCGTCAGATTGAAGTTAATATAAAAATTATATTTCTACACCTTTTTCAGATCGAAAAGAGAAAAATGAACATGATAGCGTAAAATAATACCATTAACCATGCGTTTTGCTGTTAATACCCTATATATTGTACTAATTAAATTAAAATCTGATAAAGAATGGGCAATTATTTGTACAACGTGACGAGGTAGGTTCATCCATTGCTAAGTATTTAACAGCAAATATAATTTCCATCCTCCGGCTAGTGTATCAATAGATATTTCCATTACCTCTTCCTTCCCCGATTCTCCAACTATTCCAGGTCCTTGGACTCCTTCTCTTCCACCTCATGTGCTAATAAGAAGTTAATGGATCGCCTCCCAGGACACGTCCTAACTGGCAAAGATGATGACGCTTTAAGGCTGACAGATCAGAGGTCGTGAGTTCGATTCTTGGAAGACTTTAGGAAGGCAGATATTCTCCTGGAAGGCAGGATTTATCCTGGAAGGCAAGGTGCAAAGATGGAAAACGACTTGCTTGACACTTTCGTAGATCAGTTGGGGGGCTCTTGAGCACTGGTCAGTTTAGGGCACAACCTGCGGTTTAACCTGTCTGCAGTTTGAGAGGCCAAGGTGTAGACTCCATGATTTAGTCACTGTAAGGTGGATATCTGGATATCCAAAAAAAAAAAAAAGTTAATGGATTTGTGCACCCGTGGCACAGCTCAACTGGTGGATCAATCAACATTGTCTTGCTTTCAGCGGTAGGGTGGAGAGTTCGATTTCTGGTGGGAACCTGCAGTCAAATATTTGGTATGGAGCAATTACTGTGGAGGAAGGTCTCTTGTGCGCAGAAGTGTACAGACAATGGGGGAACCTGTGATCCAGTTGAGGCATAACCCGCGATTTACCCTCTTCAAGGTTCTAGGGGTAAGGGTCTTGAGAGTCCAAAATTTAGTCTGGTGTAAGTTGGAATACCTGGATATCAAATAAAAAAAAAAGTTAATGAATCTGCCCTCCGGGATATAGCCTAGTGGTGCAAAGGACAGGAGTGAAGTTATCTCACACTTTGTTGGCAGCCGCAATGTGGGGGTTCAAATCCTGAGACATGAAATTGGACTTCTTGTAAGCGCAGTGTACAAGTAGCTCTTGTTCCCTGGCCTGTTAGGGCACATTCCGCGATTTACCTCTCTCACAAAGCTCTAGGGGCGAAATGGTGGGGCCCTCAAGGTTGGGGTTCAAATTTTTTTTTTTTTTTTTTGAGAAGTTAATGGATCTATTCTCACATACGTGGCCTAAAGTATACTTTTCATTGCACTTATAGCACAGGCCTAGGTTTATTTTTGTTTGAAAGTCATTGGGAGTGATGGTTTTATACTGTTAGTGTGTTTTATTTATTTTGGGACTTGGATTAGTGGATTTCATTTCATCGGGTGGTCTGGTATAAGGAGTTTCCATCTGCTTTCGTTGGTTGTGAAATTATTTGGCTTCTGAAATATGTTAATGGCAAGGATGGTTGACTCTTGAAGGCAGGCAATTTCAAAGCCTTAGCTAAAGTATCAGGCCTCATCATCTTAACCATGGACTTGATCTCTCCTTTCAAGCCACTTGTAAATATTGAAATATAATAGGATTCAGGGAAATGAGAGAGGGATACCATCCCCTGTGCTTTCAACTCCTCAAACTTCTCCTGGTATTTAGCAATAGAACTTATTACTTGCTTGATCTTACTGAAAGTTTCCATCACTTTTTTCCAGTATTTTCTGCAAACCTTTAGCAAATCCCCTCAGAAAACACATCCCAATCAGTATTTGGGTGACTTGCAATGAAGTAATCAAACTATATATCAGCCTTACCTTTAATATACATCTCTGCAATTCCCATTTTCAACTCATTTGGGATCTGATGGAGTTGAAAATATTTTCTATATTTTCTAAGCCATTCTCTAGGCCCCTCTCCCCCAAAGTGAGGGAAATTGATTTTAGGTAGCTTAGTATTTCTTCTATATTCACCCCTTATACGGCTTCTACTCTCCTGCTCATCAGACCCTTGTTGAGTTAGTCCGCTCAGATCTTACGTTTGTAGCAGACCTTTCTACTCCTTTGTTCTTTTGGTCTGCTTTCAAATTAGATGTCAATTGTGCCACAATATTCACTAATTTATCATATTTTAGGTTCATATCTAGAACTGTACTCTCCATTTTCTCCTATCTGTGCCCAAATACTTGTAGATTTTGCTTAGTGGAATCTTAATTCTCCTCCAGCCTATAGGTGACTGCCTTGGGTACAGTTCCCAAATAGATTTTTTCAAAGTCAATATTCTTTAGATGATCATCAACCAACTTAGCTCTAGTATCCATGATTTCACTTACCCAGTTACTTGGCTGCTCTAATACCAATTTGTCACGGCTCGAACCTTCAACTATGGTAGCTTTTCACCGTAACACAGAAAATATACTGAAATTAGCTGAAATAGCTAAGATTATGTCACCAAACAAAGATAAAAGAGAATGGGAATGAGGTAAAAGAGAAATTTAGAAGAAAGAGATGAGAAGTGTTGAATAATTTCAACATTAGTACTGAAAATATCAGGTTACAAAAGCTTTATTTCCGTCCTGACTATTTTGCACTTTCTTTGACTACGTGGTACTAATCTGTCATGGTCAAGATAGTTTATATTCAAAATATTGGTTCCATTTTTACTTGGTTCAATACTCATCTTGGTTTAACAAAATGTTAACACGAGGTGATGATCGGCCGACGATGAGAGGTGGATTTTCATAGTTTAATTTTGATAATTCGAGGTGGGGTAGGGGCAGCAGGGTTGGGGTTGGGAAAGAGTCCTTTTACTCTTTTTTTATTTAAAATATTTTAATTATTTATAATAGGGAAATTTAAAATTATCATTCTACCTCTTTAAAAATTGATAAAATATAGTCAAAATCATTTTCTTGATCAACTAATGGAAAAGTAAATGTTTTTATCGACTTGGACTCCATATACATATTTCCGAAATGTTAGGGATCTATATTGGCACAAATTGGATGTTAGAAGAAAACCTGTAATAATTGAAAAGATTAGGGACTGCTGATGCGATTTTTCCTTGTATCTTGTTACCATGAACATATATGTAAAATGAAAAGGCATGGCAAATGTATACTAATAAAAAAAATATAATATAACATGTTCATCACTAATTTTCAATTTACAATTGTTAATCTTAACTTGGATGAAAATGTGCAAGGACTTAAAAGAAATAAGCCATTCCCAATTCTGTTGTCATCAAATGAAAAATGCATAAAAATTGTTATGATTAGTGTAGTGCTTTTCCTTTTGGAACCGTTCAAGATTTACTTCAAAAGTTTTACAATTATTGAATGGCATATAGGATACTTCTTAATTTAAAAAAGGATAAAATTGACATATAACATATAAAAGGGATCATTTTGTTAATTTTTTACAAAAATGAGCCATTTTTTCCCTTTCTCGCGTTAAAACAGGCCTGTCACAAAAACCTCACTTTGTTAAGAATAAATGGGCTTGTCCAAATCCGGCTCGTTCAGGCCACAACCCACATTTCCTTGACACAGCCCATGTGAGACCAAGTTGGATATAGACCACTTGATATGGGCTGGGGCAATAATGGGCCTAATGGCTGTTGGAGACGACTTAGAGAAATGGGTTATGTAAGGATTGATTTTTGATATATTTGTTTCGACCATTTTTAACCCACAGTATCGTGATTAAAACACAATTTATATGAAAACTTGGACAGAATTTCGGTATATATAAATGTGGTAAAGATTACACAAAACAAAAATTAAGAAGAAATAGAAAATAGATAATAATCCAGGACAAAATGTTATCTTTTTCCTTATGATAAATTGCCCGTTACAGTGTTCACG